CAAAAAGAAAACAGCTAACCCTTCTTTTTCTCAGATCTGGGCATATTTTTATTTTCTAGAATCTCCGCCTACTTCTGCCCATTTTTGTATGGATTATGGACTTTTATCTTCTTTGTCAATGCCTCCCACCTGCCTATTAGGCTTGTTTATGGAAGAACTGCACCCCCTCAGTTTTTGTGGCCAACTGGAGAAAGGCAGCAATGTTTATTTTCACCAGTTGTATCCTAATTGATATCTTAATGAGAAGTTACAATAATCACACTGGCAACTGTTAGTAGGGCTATTAACAAAACACAAGGTTTTGTTGGAAGTTTAATGGGTCCATGTTAGAAACCCCTATAAGAGGTAGAGTTGCTAAAATGCTAAATGAACTGCCTTCACCAGGTGGCTCACACCCTAAGGACAGCCCTTTGACTTGAACATATTGATAACAATTCTAACAATCATATCAAGATTTCAATTATTTACCATTTCCCTGACCCTACTGCAACAGAAAAATCAAGAACATATGGCATGTTTTTTTTTTTTTTTAAAACTTGTTTATTTTGCTCTTGTCAATACTATGTCAAAAATATTTCATGCTGATCTTGAAAGGACCCCTCATAAATTAATACTACAGAGTACTTTATTCAGCTCATCCTGTTTTTGTCTTGGAAGTTCCTCTGTTTGCACCTCCCCCCATATGTTAGTATTTTGAATTAAAGATGGTCAAGGAAATAAAATTTCATTTGAATTTGTAGTATTTTTCATTCCGTGTAGCTTGCGGAAGTGAAATTATTGGGAAATTAAAGGTCCATGAAATTCTGTGAATACTCACTGTTGAAGGAAAATCCTTACAGCTCTCTCAGATGTGATGGTGGACTTTAAATTGGCAAGGGGGATGAGCAAATAGCTAAAGCTAAACGACTCTGCAAATCCTAAATGCCCTTTTACATTCTGAAGATATCTGTAACAGAACAAACTCCTTTTGTTAAAACGAACTTCGTTTGTAAAATCTGAGAGAGTATCATGACTCGCATAGTCATAGTATAGCATGAAGCAGAACAGACCACCACGTTTTTGCCAATGTGACTGAACAATCTCTATTACTTACACTTCAATCTTGGTCTGACTCCTAAGAAAGGCTGGTTTCTAACATGGTTGGTGAACATTACTTGGGCTGCTTGTGTAATTCACTGTGTACTTTGGAACAAATCACAACCATCTTCCCTCAGGTCTCACTTTTTTTCTTCCATAAACAGGGGACAATACAAACCTCTCAGATTTAAGGGCAAAATAAGATAGAAACTTTCTAAAGAGATTCCATCCTTAACAGATGATGGGATGCTTGGTTCTCTGCTCTGGTGGGTGACACAGTAACGAAGGGGATTGCTGAGATCACACGTATCCAAGTCTCAGGGTCAGGTAGTGTGACACGCATACACGATGGCCAGGGTCACTTAAATTAGCCAGATGCTATTCAACAAATTAATCTTCTGCATTTGGAAGATGTTTGTGTACAGAATTTTCACCAGAAAGTTTTTATAGCAAACTTTTATGTCAGAAGTTTATTTTATTGGTAAAATATTAAATAATATACAGAATTAAAAACTGCACTTACACTTCTGAGAAGAAATAAATCTTGGACAAATTATATGCTTGTTCCTGAGATTCCCTAAATTTATTCCAGTAGCTGTGCACTCAGACAGTACAAACCTTTATAATATAATCCTTTTCACAAAGTATTACAAAGTTTCTGCAGCTTTTTAGTTGTACACACATACAGACACACACTCACACATGCATATACAACACTCATACACGTATACACAGTACCCACATACATGCACAGAACATGTATGTGTGTGCATTAAAAAACAAAGAAAATACAAGTCCCATGATTTAGTCTGCAGTGATATCAGAGGTCTCCAATTGGTATATAGCAGAGTGACTTGTCACACAGCTGCAAAGACTTTCAGTATTTCCATAGTAAACCTCATTTTCTGAGGTATGGTAATTGAGCCTTAAAAAAACTACATTACACTGAGCAAACCTGACATACAAGGTCTGGAATTTCAATTTTACATATATATTTATATATATTTCTTTTTTTAAACAATAGCTTTATTTTCCCAAATTATTAGTTTGAAAAAAAAATGAGGTTTACTGGTTTGACCTATTTTTTTTTTTTTTTTTTTTTTTGCTTCTACAACTCAAAATATCCTAGAAACTGTCAAGCAATTAGTTTTTAAAGTAGTCTAATTACCTTTGGTATTGTTAAAGAAAAAAAATCTAAAATGGCCAAGACACATACTATACAAATGCAGTAACTGCCTTTAAGAGAAATGCCAAAGAAATGTCATCTTTTAACAAAATATGTATTTACATTACAGCAGTTTTACTACAGGGACACAGGTATAAAAAAAGAAAACCAACAAACTGCATATAAATAGGTATGATACGAAAAATACTTCTTACTTAAATTTGTATGAAAACAGGAGTGCTCCAAATATTTCTTAAAAATTTTCTCCAATAACTGATAGGCAAGTGTTTAAAACTGAGCTAAGTGCTTTGCTTTCATTTTAAAATTCATTTTCAAAAGGAGAAAATTGAAATAAAAAATATTAGTTTCTTCATTTAAAACACTGAGCAAGGGTCTAAGAAGAAAATTCAGTCTTTTCGAGTTTAGGACACACTTCTCAGGCAAGATTCCTAATTTCAGTGGGAACTGAGCCTAAATAGAGGCGCCATGAGATGAGCTCAATGGTTTGCACATTCTCTGATGTTTTGACTGTGGAGTGTTCTTCTCTTTGTTTGTTGCGTCCTTTACCTAACATACCATGATTTTCAAGGGTTTCTTTTTTCATTCACTAAAGAAGACTAAGGTCAGAAAACAAAACAAACAAATAACCAACCATAGTTTTTAAGACTTCAAGGAAAGTATTGCACTTGTACAGAAATAAAAGAAAAATATCATTTAAACTAAATAGCAGAAGCAATCATTCTGGAACTGCAAATAACACATGGTCTAAAAGTTCCAACGATTAAGAGCAACTACGGAGCCTGGAGAGCCCCTTCTGAACCTGGAACATTATAGTAACGTTAAAGCATTTTCTCCCAACTGGGAAAGAGTTAAGACTTTTGCTTTAAATTTTTAACATCTTCCTAAATACTTGCAAAAATTGTTTACTCTCTCATAATATACACTTTAGGAGGAAAACCAAATCAGAACACAAAATTCAACAAAAAGGAAGGCAAACATACCATATTATGATTACATAATCTCTGAAGTCATATTTTAGGTACCCAATATTTGAAAGTGAAAGTAACACAAAGGTTAAATCCCTTACCATTTTTAATCCAACTACTTTTCTTTTTTTAATATAAAACTACACTTGAGTATAAAAATATGTCAGCAGATTATACAGCCAACAAAATTCACACACAAAAAATTAAGACCTAAGAGACCCACGAATTAGAAATAAGAGTTGACCTAATCTTCAAACTAGTAGGGGGAAAAGAGCAGAGAAGTCCAAAGACAGTGATGGAAGGGACATGGACAGAGAGGACAAACGAGGTGGAGGGGCGTAGACAACATTTAAGAAGAGACGACAAAGAGAATTTTGTTACACAGAAGGGGAAATGATTTATGTCCAAAATCTGAGAGTGCTTGACAGTCAATGTTTTAAAATCACAGTTTCAGAAATTGAACTACTTAAAAAAATAAACACAAAAGAATAAAACAACAAAAACAGAACCCAGAGTCCTTCCCTTATTACAGTGTATTCAATTTTTAAAAGTCATTTCCAGTAAATTAAATTAAGTAGAATCCTGGTAAGTGCATAGTAGGGGATTCAGTGACCTCGCCCATCTGAGAAACTTTCCTTACTGTGTGTCACTTGAGGTAATTTGAAGGCCCAATTAACTGCAAACTGGCTTATCTGTATCTATAGGAAGTTACATGCTATACTTTATGTGGTTTAGCAGAGGGCCTCTAAATTCTATATTTTATTCACAATAAAAAGGACATTTTAGAAAACTAGTCATTCACATACCATTCTCTGTATGGGATAAAAGGTTAATTCACAACAAATTTATACAGAAAATATACAAATGCAATGTTAGGGGAGAAAACCCCCATAAACAGAATTAAGAACTTATTTCTAAGAGTGTATGTGAAAAATATCCACAGACTTACAGTACAGCAAGAGAAAACTAAAAAGCCAGAATGTTACATAAAAACCTTATGGAAATTTCAAAATTTTAGGTTTCTGCAATACATGTAAAAATATTTAAGGTGTCATTATTTGGCCTAGCAATACACTATGATAAAAAGAAACACTAGCATATCACAGCTTCTTGGTCATATGACATTTGCTTTGTATAACAAGCAGCTCATTATTATTATTTTAAAAAGCTGTCATATCCTAACACATTCACTGCAAGTAACACACAACCATGGTAGGAAACCATCTGAGATTATGCTTTGGAGAACAGCAACGTGATGTGACTGTGCAGTTTTGTTTTGTCCAAGGAGAATTAACTGCCTGCTTCTCTACATTATTCCATTAAACACACACAGATTAGAAGACAGAGGTTCTGAGACTAGCACACTGCTAGTCAATAGAAGAAATTCCAAAACAATACTTTGTTGTATTGAGCAAAGATTCCAAGAATAAAGCCTTGTATGATATTAGAATTTACTTTTCCTTAAGAACAAAACAAAACACATACCATAATGCAATTCACAGCTAAAATTTCCCTCTACCTCATATTTCACCTGCATAATCTTGAAACAACATCCAGAAACACTATCTAACTAAAATCTGGTTTCAAAATTTCCTTTTACTTTGCACAGATGAGCTAAAGGTCTCTGTATTGGAAATTCTTCTAACAGTGTTTCCCTAAGAACATGAAGATAAATTATATAGTACTCAATTTTAAGTGATTTTAAAAAATACATAAGTGTTGTACAAGAGCGAATCAACACTCTCAAAATGCATTTTAAAAAGGCACCAATATAAAAAAATTTTTTTCTAAGTATTTAATACATTAAATTCAGGATCTTAAGAGACCAGTTACTGTATATTTTAATTATTTTGCAGAAACTGGAGGTTTAAAAACATTTCTAAGATAACTTTCACATATACAAACTACAATTTCACCACCACTTTTTTTTTCCTGTGCATTTGGGGAATTTCTGTTTTAGAAGAGTCTTTATAAAACAGTACTTACTAAAATAATATATAAAATATAACTAAAGATCACAAATGCAACATTCCTTTTTGAAAAATGAACAATTTAAAGTTTAAAAATAACATAGCCAGTACCTCAAAATCTAAGTTCTGTCTTGAAACTAAGAGCATACAGTTTTTTAGATTGTACTTTTGCAGCCTTTTCTTTTTCTACCTTAAGGAACCATTTTGGAGATAAAATTAACTAACACTGGAAAATAAACAGACCAATTTTCATCAAAATACCTTCACTGATGTAAATATTGTCAAACATTTACATAAACCACCATTAAGCCTTCTCGGTGGTTTTGTGAGGAGTGTAACTCAGACACAAAACAATATCAAGCTCACGAACATATTCTTGTCTTTCTCTATTTGTCAACATATAAGTTAACTTCTTTTCTGTATCTTCCTATCCAAAAGTAATTAGTTTCTTTCACTTTGGAGGTTATATCAAATCAGCTAAATACTCTACTTTTTTTGACTGTTTTGATTTCTTCTGAAGTAGATTGTAAAGACCCATGCTTCAATAGTTGCAATTAGTCCCAAACACACACTAGTGACTTTAACAGCTCTTAATACGACTTGGTAACAAGTGCGACTACTGGTATTAACAGCAATTAACTCTCCCTACCTCTCTTACAGCACACCTGAGCACTCCAATTGCTTCTTTTCATGATTTTCCTTAAAAGAATGAATGTGTGTATACATAGTTGCTTGTATGCATGTAGAATGGAAGAGATACTCCCTACTTTGTAGCCAAATCTGAACACTGGTCTCCCATTCTCCCATTTTGTCCCTCCAGAAAATCTTCAACGGAATGTTTCGACAACTTGACATTGCTGCCAATCTGCTTATTGGTCACTTTCACTATTTTACAAAGCCAGGTTAGAATGGCTTTTTAAGTGACTGACCACTATTAAGAGAGAGGTTGCACACTTCTCCAACAAGAGCTGGAGATAAAATGCTGGGCAAAATTAGGGCAAAGCAATATGATGAATTTCTGATTTTTTTTTTTTGCCAAAATGGAAAACACATAAACTAACCCATTTTCATGCCCCTCAAATTTTCTGTTTTGTAAAATCTCACCTGAATAAACTGGGACTGTACCTGTCCTGTAAAACTTGATTTATTTGGTGCCTGACCCTCATACTTATTTTTAGGTGCCACCACCTTGCTTATTTCCTGTTGTGAAGAAGAGGCATGCAATCCAGCCACCCAGATTTCTCCAGAAAACCGTGAGTCCACCCAAATTCTTCCTAACCTACACACCTGAATTGACCTTGTCCTCATTTGCCCGGCCACGCCCTGAGCCATCTTTCCCTCTTTCTGGCCCACATATCATGAGGCTAAGAAAGTACGAGCACACACTTGGAGCAAGTGCACTCTCATAAATACAAAGCCCCTTCAAAGAAACAGGTTCCCCAAAAGATGGAATCAGAAAAGGAGCGTGCATGATTCTGTCTTCGCGGGGTACGACACAACTCTTGAGAGCCGCCTAAGTTCCGTTTTATCCCAGGGCAGGTACAGAGTTGTTCACAGAGCACAACAAACCGTAAGTAGGAAGAGCATCCCAGGCAATGCCAGCAAAAATTCACACACAGCTGCACTCAGAAACATACTGACTGCCATCCAAATGTTTCTTTAAATTACAGTTTAACACAAAATCACTCATTTCAATTATTTACCTACCACCAAAAGGGGGGAAAAATCTATTAAGCATGAGTAGTTAGGGTGGGAGGGGTGGAGTCTCAAAGACACGCTTTACCCTTGAATAAATTGCATGTTCAGAACGTGCCAATGTGCCAAAGCGTGCGGGGAAAAGAACGACAGTTGACAGTCTACTGAAAACATTCCACATCTCTGTTTTGGTGCTTCTCTGAGATTTAAAGAAACAGTTTGGACATTTCTCCTAAAATAATTACAACAGGGGTAGTGAAAGGAGCGGTGTTGGAACCACTTTCGCTTAGCTCTGGCTGGGTTAGTGCTTAGAAGTTGCTTAAATAAGCAGACGGTAAACCAGAAAATGAGTGAAGAGCAGTATCCAGGCCAGGACTGTTCATCTGTCCAGAGTTCTCTAGTCTTGCTAATTCTCACATCATCCTGTATCAAGAAACAGAGTGTCTGCAACCTAGTTAAAGATTTTTCCCAGCAGCTATCAGTGACTGCTAACAGTATCCATAGACAGTTATCAGGTAATCCGGTCTCGGTCAGGCTTGCCCTCTCTAAACACAAGCAGCGAGTTCTGCCTCCAAGTATATTCCCTCAAATGATTTGAATCAATCTCACTGGGTTGCTTCCCTCGAATGCTGTAGGACAGCAAAGAACAGACAGCAGCCATACACATGCACGTGAACTCTGGTAACATGTACGGATTAAAGAAAGAGAAATTCTAAGGAGCCGAGATTCATTTCTGACAAAGACTTATACAGAGTTGAAAGTTTTTTGAGACCAAAAATGTGCAGGACACAGTCATTTTTGCTTGGAGGGTTGGTAGCATTCTATACTCCAAGAAGGGTAAATATATATTTTTCTGTTCTATCTGTAATCCAGTAGGTAACACAGAAGTTCCCTTTCTTTGCACCAAAAGTGCCAGATGTTATTATTGAATAAATAGCCCTAGTTCCATAACGTTACAGGGTTCAAGTTACACATTCAGATCAAATTAGCAATTGCTCCGAGGAGAGCTGGAAAGAAATAGCCTACAGTAAGGTATGTATGACCTTCTATGGGGAGAGCAAAAGATGAATGGACTATGGACAGAACACTGGGTGGTCACAGCTTGAAAAAACACAAGTGAAAAGAGAAATATACCAGAACAGGGATTTCTGAGTGGGTTTTTCCCCCTACTGTTAGCCTAATTATATTTTTCTGCTGACCGATTAACACTGATTAAATGCTGATAAAGTGACAATCGTAAGCGTACTTTTAGAAACAAATACGTATACTCTGCGGCCATCACGTTACAACGCTAAAAGGAAACTTCCTAAACGAATTTATGAAAAGTGGAGGTCCCTTCTGAAACTACTGACGGCCTCTTAGCCACTCTTAGACCATATGTTATTCTGAAAACTAGATACAAATACTATTCATTAAAGGTGTTAAAAGTAAGGCTGCCAGGGTGTCTATAAAATGCCAGTCATCAAAACTATGGAAAAAACAGTGCTTAAGTTTAGAAAAATAAGATCACAGGACCTCAGATGTATTGTGTGACCCTCACTACCTGTAGTTGAAAAGGTCTGCTATATGGTACAGTGTATAACATACCGTATTATAAATTCCATAGGGAAAGTAAACATAGAACCCACAACAACTCATCCAAGGAGTTATCATTGAAAATAACCATGTGTTTTTGTTCCATGATCTCTGGAGGAGGAAAAAAACAAAAAAACATTTTACATTTTGAAACAAATTTTTCTTTGAAGCGTGAAATTACTTACGCCATTTTAAACTGCGTAAGTCCTGCCCAGAGAACTAAGCTTTCCTGCCTTCAGTCATAATTCTGAACATCAGTGGCAAATCAGAATCTCTTAGGTGAATCTATATGAATCAATCAATTTTTTTTCAAAGCACGATATGCCTCAGATCTATGCATGGCAGAAACGAACTGCTCTTAAAATTCCCACAAAGTAAAGAAGCCAAGTTATCAAGAAACAAGATCCCCTGTCCCTGTCCCTTCTGTTTCTTCCTAATTGTAATTAGGCAGAGCAAAGACACTGCAACCACAAAATAAGAATTAATGACAGTAATAATATTTTTAAAAAAAGGTATGTCAACATCTTAGGGAAGGTGGGATTGTAAGTGCAGTATTTCTTCATGTGCAGTTTGTTACTTCATAGGGGTCCCTTTGGAATGAAAAGGCCTAGTGGAATGTGTGCTCCCCTCGAACAATGTGTGATGAAAACTCATAACGGTCCTGGCTTCTGTAGCCACAGATGTTGCATTCCAGTGGGTCCCGGTAGCCATGGCAACCCATGTGAATGGTGTACATGACGTGGTCTAGGAAAAGGACTCGGCAGTGCTCACACTTAAAGGCCCTAATCTGTTCTCCTTCTCCATTGAAGACTTTGTAGATGTCCTTCAGAGAGCCCTTAGGAGCCTTGGTGGTGTCCAAAGCCTTGACATCCTCCTTCATGTAAGCTGGGCTTTGTTTCCTCTTGGGATTTAAGGCAGGGTTTCCTTGGTAGGACTGGTGGTCATCATGGCTGCTTTCTGAGTCAGTAGAATCCAGGCAGCTATTGCTGGGAGAGGCCTCTCTTTCCTGGGGTCGACTCTTTGGTCTGATGAGAGAGATAGGGCCATCCATGTTGTTTTCATGACTATCGGAGGTTTCCCTGCTAATGGGTCTTTCTATCCTATTTGGATGATAGACCTGAGAATAAGCTGAGCTTATAACTGGGGCCACCTCAGCGATTGTGCTTGGCGGGTGCTGCATCAGAGGGTGAAGGGCCTCAGCTCCAAGGTAGGTGATTGCATTGTTGATGGCTTGGTCCATCATATGAGACTGCATCAGCTCAGCCTCCTTCTCATATGTTAAGTTCATATCAAAGTGAATGTCTGGGTAGCTGAATCGCATGAGCTTTTCCCCTGAAAGAGAGAGGGGAAGAAAAGCAAAAAGGAAAACAAAAAAGACACAGCAAAATTAGTGGCTGGATTAAAAATATAAAAGTACAAAGCTAACTAATCAAATCCACTTCCCACAACATGGTATATCTTGTTCTTTAGATCAAGTATTTACGCTCTTTGACTCTGCTGAGACTCACAAACACTCTAAACCTGCAAAGGGGATTAGTAATAAAAATTTCAAAAGCCATTTGTACTTGTTCTAATGCCCTTGTGAAAATGCATCTAGTCTGAAAAGTGTAACTGGGTGTAGTATTACCTTATTTTCATTCACTATTAAAATTTCCACTTGTCTAGAGCTTATAGAGCAAATATAGGAGAAAGAAAAAAATACCAGGCAAAAATAAGTCAGAGACTATGCATGTTTTTGCATATTGTAAACATCAGTGACCAAGCCACTAAGACTATAAAATCTAGAGTGATCTGGTTATAAATGGTCACCTCGCCCTGGCTGGTTTGGCTCTGGGGTTGGAGCATTGGCCTGCGGTCTGGAGAGACCCGGGTTCAGTTCCAGCTAAGGGCGCGTACCTCGGTTGCAGTTTGTCCCGGGCCCTGGTTGGGTCGTGTGGGTGGCAACCACTCGATGTGTCCCTTTCATGTCGATGTTTCTCTCTCTTTCTCTCCCTCCTACTCTATCTGAACAAAATGTCAAAAAATGTCCTTGGGTGAGGATTAAAAAAAAAAACAATGGTCACCTCACTTTGTGTAGGGTTGATTTGGTTGATTTAGGTGCTACATGAAAAAACAATTACAGAGCTGACATATTTCATTCTGGAGAGTTCAAAAGAGTCCCAATAAAAATACTGTTATAAGATGTACTGTCTGATAAAGTGAACAAAATTTTGGGCTATTTTAAAACAGCAGTTACTTACAAATGTATTTATAAATTTGGAAAATACTACGTTTTGTTGTTTTGTATCTCAAAAAGGATAATTATTCATTTTTATATCACCCTTTCTTATTGAGACATGTATGCAATGGTTCTGGTATGATCCACTGTCCATTTTCCTATACTTTCCCTTGACTGAAGTATAACTGTAGTTTTTCCTTCAATATTTACTTCAATTAATTTAATTTTACTTCAATATAACATCTAAATATTAACTAGAAAAAAGAGTTTGGTGCATAGAGTATGAGAAGTAATTTCTCTCCTTCAAATATGACCAACTTTAGACAGAATATTTTATCTTTTTAAATTTCTGCCACTAAAACAAAGTAGTCTCCTATTAGTTACCTAGTTCTGATAGGTGAATCTTACAAAGTAATGCCTCTTAAAATATATGTGCACTTCTTATCCATGTTGTAGATGAACGCCTCACTTGTAACGTGGGTGGGAAATATTGACCCAGAGAACTGCATTCTGGAAAAGCACTTTCAAGTAGCTGGTATTATCTCAGGTTTAAGAAAGGTCCCCAAAGTGAGATCAGGCTAATGACCAGAGCATGAAAATGGAAGGGAAAAAATGAGAAAGCATTTTGTGGTATCCAATTTAAGACACTGCAATGTCGTAAGTTTAAAAGTTAAGCTACACAAACCTAATCTATATCCTCAAAGAGTCTACAGTTTAGAGGGGGTGACAGTGGTTTAGGGATCATTTATAATACAGTGTGAAACGGGTGATGGGGTCAAATTAAAGGAATTCATATCTCCTATGAGGGGGGTAAAGTAAGACTTTTTGAAGGCGGTGGCATCAGAGAAATGAGTCTGATGGCAAATATTAGCCAAGTAAAGGAATGTGGGATGGAGCAGAAGGTAATAAGACTCAGAGGCAGCAGGTGTGAAAATACATAGAAAGATGAAGTCATAAAACCGAGGGCGTATTCAACGGCTGAGAAATTTGAATTTGTATCCTGAGAGCAACAGCAATGAAAGGATTAAACAAGGAAATGACTTGACTAGAGAGTTATTTGGCAAGATGGTTTAGAAAGCTTTGCTGTGGAGACCAAGGTGGTCTAACTAGCACAGTGTCAGTGGAAATGGAGAAAATTCGATGGAATGGAGAGAAACAGAAAACATAGGTACTAGGGCTTGGTGATTATCTAGACATAGAGAATGAAGGGAAAAAAAGTTTGGATGTTAATTAGATTAAAACGATGATGAATTCAGGTCGGGAAGACTATGAGTAACTGTCATGTCCAGTAGGTACTGAGGTATAGTCTCGAACTCAGGAGAGAGATCTGGCCTTCAGATGTAGAGATGAGAGTCACCAGTTGATAGAAAGTAACTTCTTAAGCCATGGGGATACGTGTATCACCCACGAATAGGTCAAGTGTGAAGGACTGAAATCCCGTAACAGAAACTGAAAGAACACCAAGATTTTTATGCCTGCCCACAGACCAGGGCAAGTGGGATTCTTGCACTAAACCCCGTATTTAGAGAGCCCTGGGCCTTGCTCCTTATGGATGAGGAATGTGCAGGGCCAAGGGAATGTGCCTATCTAGAGCTTACTCCCTTGACCACACTCTGTACCCTCAAAGTCCTTGCCCTGAGCTTGCACCTAGGGTTAGCGGTCCTCGCCAGAGGGTCCATCCTCCAGAGTAACAATGGTGCTGCTGGAACGTATACTCTGAGGCCTGAGGAATGGCCAACACACTCCTCTTCATGCACAACACGTGGGTACAATGTGAACAGAACTGGATGTGCAGGCTGAGGTGTCTACACATGTATGCTTGAGTCTCCTTTTGAAATTGGACACAACCAAGAATGTGTCCACAGAGAGGCCAGGCTCCTGGCCAGAGGGTGTTCCGCTCTGACTGCTGCCAAGGTCTGCTGTGGAACTCCAAGGAATCCGAGAATTCAATGTTTATTTGAACTGAGTCTTCTAAGTTGAAGGGTAAAACATAACAGTTTTTCACCTTGAGTTATATTAAAATACTTAAGCATATGAATGGAGTCCTCCATTAGTACTTTTGTCCCCATTTGCATAGCTAATAAAGAATACTGAGAAGGAGCAGTCACAGAAGCTGGAAGAGATGCAAAAGAGGTCAATGTCATAGAAACCAAGGAACGAGAGTATTTCAAAAGGAATTAAACAGTAGTGGCAAATGCTCTCTAGGAGTTGTGTCAGACAGTCTCTAAGGTCCCAGGGAAGCTGGTGGTGATGTCCATGAGAACACATCCAATAAAGCTCAGGGAAGAACGCCAGGCAGCAAAGTCTGGGGTACAAGGAGAAAGAAAGAAATTACGGAAAACAAGCATAGAGAACTCTTTCAAGAACTCCATCTTCGAAGACATGTAGAATGTAGATGGTCCCTGGAAGGAGTATTGGGTCTGAGGGAAGATTTCTTTTAATCATGATAGTTTATCACATTAAATGCTGACATGAAAATACCAATAGAGGTGAGAAACTGAAATACAAGTGAGGAAGAGAAAAAATAATAGTGTAAGTATTTGGGGGCCTGGGATAGGAGAATTCCAGAGCACACTTAGAGGAATTTACTTTAGTCAGAAAGAAACACACACTTTTTTTTCTCTGAAACAAGGAGAAAAGAAGGAAGTATTCAGGTGGGTGCACATGGTCCCATAGGGTTAGTGAAATTGCTCTGAAATCACTTCAACTGGTTTTACTCCCCGTGAATTTAGATACAATATCAGCAAGAAGTGAGACCGCATGTTTGCAGAGAGTGAAGGAAGCTTGAAATGGCCCCAGTGGTGAGCAGCAGGGAAGACTCTTCAGGGATACATCAAAGCATGGATGTTACACAGCATGGGTGGGACAAACGGATGTTTGAGACCAGTTAATTCATTTAGTTTTGGTGACATCAGTTTGAAGGCTGTGAGATGATGTCCAAAAGCACTAGCAGCTATGCAGATACGGCTGCACTAGAGAGAGGGGTTTCCCCAGGAGAAGATGATCGAAGGACAACAGATCAGGAGAGTCAGGAATATTGGCAAAGGAGCAGAAGAGTGATGAGCCATGGACTCGAAGCTGGACGAGAAAGGAGAGGAGACAGACTGATACACAGAAAGTGCGGAGATCACTGGCCCGGATGGCTGGAGACGGTCAAAGAGCGGCATTTAACCGAGGGGCACAGTAAAAGGGAATTTACAGTAAGGGTGGAATGACGAAATTTTTGTTTCAGATGCAGAAATGGTTACTATGCAAATGTTATATATATGACTGTTAGTGTAGAACCCAAATAAAGAAAAAACCATCAAATTCCTAATAAAAAATCGAATGTCATTACTTTAGAATCAAAATGCAAATTAAAAAATCTGTCCCTCTTTTCTAAGGAATGTAATGAGATCAAATTGAGGGCAGCATTTCTAAGTCATAAAAAAAAACCCAAAAACATGAAAATGTTTCAAAAGGCAGAACTAAACAAATGCAAAAGATAGAAAAATAGGAATAAATTTTATATTTTCCCAAATATACTAGTGTCTAGTTGAGATATAGGCATTTAATGAACATCCATCAAATTAATCAATTTTTAAAGTAGATAAACGGCCATTTAAAAAATGTTGTTTATTAAAAGAAAGAAAGAGACGGAAATAAACGTCACCGAGGGCCCATGGCAGGCCTTCGTGTGTCCTCGGAAGGGCCTCCACTGACCTACGCTAAAGGGTGGTCCTTAGAGCTATCCTCAGCCTTCTTTCCACAGGCTCTGTTAATTAATCTCCCCAGCTTCCTTAAAGTGGTATTTTGGTGATTTGTTAGTTCTTTAGTTTTAGGTTGAAAGGAAACCATCTCGAAATGTTTACTGGAGTAACAGAATTTTATTACCCTTTCCTCCCTGAAATAACCAAAGAAAAGATGTTCTCCTGATCACCATTCAACTCCCACAAGACATTCCACAATGATTTTTAGAATAGAATGTGAATATTTTTTATTTATTATCATTTCTACCCTATATAAGATCTATAAAAGTAGATAATACATATACAATCAACAACAATTCTTTATATTCAATCTGTATTATTCACATGGTCTTTTTAAAAGTTAGACGCTTTCTGTATCCTCAGAGATACTTATGACTTATGGTATGCAGAATGGTGCCAACTCTGAGTGTATCGAAGAACATCTAAGGGGTTGGAAATGAAAAAGTAAAGTCCAATACATCATATTTAATCTTTTCAGTTCAAAATCACAGGCTGGATAAAACAAAGATCAAAATATGAAACACAGATCCAAATAGGAAGCATCTTGGATGGAGGTTGCGGCATTATTTTTCTAATGCAGAATTAAAAGAAAAAAGGATTTCTCTTTATCCTAGATCAAATACTAAGAACACTAATATCATGTAAAGAAAAGAGTTCAAAAACCTGGTACTAAAGCAAATTTTAAAACACAATCAAAACTGGCTTATAGGCTACACTACTTCTCTTAAGTGTTACAATTCTTTAAATGAACATTTTATTTTTAGATGCTATTCCACCTTATACATCATTTTGAGATAGCAACTTACTACTATCAGTCTTTCCTTCATCTCTCTTTCTTAACCTCATATACTTATATACGAGAAAGAGGGAGGGAGGGGGAGGGAGGGAGGGAGGAAGGGAGGGAGAGGGGGGGAGAGAGAGAGAGAGAGAGAGAGAGAGAGAGAGAAAGCAAAAGTATGGTACACGTAGAGTGGAATCAGTAGAAAAGAAAAGAGATTTATGTTTATTTCATGAACTGAAATACACCACATATATTTCTAACACATGGGAACATGTCTTTGCCTATTAAAATCACCTTTTTAAAGAAATACAAGCATTTGTGATGCTTACCCACAAACTTTTGTGGAGTGGAGCTTTTACGTTTTCCCATATTCCCCGTGAGCTTCTCTATGACAGCAGGTCTCTCAAAAGGCACCAGAGAAATATTGTTGTCCATAATAGGCTCTTGTTCCTTACAATCTTCTATAGGAGGTACTATATAAAACCATACAAAAAATGCAATCTGATAATTTCTTCAACACTTGACAGATAAGAAACTGAATTTGCCAGGTCTATATGTGTTATACAAACATAAGCTAGTATGCTTGAGTAAAAACAAGTAGCAAGATCCCTCCAGGGTTCAAGTGCCTGGTAGCTTTACTCTCACACACAGAAGATTTCCTTTTATCTGGGTCTCTCTCAGATCAATGACATAAACTGTTGCCACTATTATTGGCGGCAAACATGTTCATCTTGTTTCTTAGCTTATGCCTCTGAAAGTGTTTTTAACATTGATTAAAATCAATACTACTTTAAGACTGCACTATTCTCAAGGCTTTTGGAGTTTATTTTTGTAAAACAATTTAAGCAAGTCAACTAGTTTTGGAGGAAAGCATCAACAGACACAGAATAACAGCACAATATTTAACCAGTTTTTTTTTCTCCACCCATGTATTTTCTTGTAACAGATTTTCTATCTGATGAGCTGAATGAGCTGGTAGCCTCGTTGGCAGTACCTCAATACCTGTGCAAAGCAGCCTTTATGAAGGAGATCCCATTCTGAACACGCATAGTCAACTGTGGCAGCTTCACAGTTGTAATTTATTTTAAAAAGAGCTCTTCAGCAGGATAAAATAATCCATTTCCAAACTGGCATCTTTGCTCACTAAACTGCTCTAATTCATTCAACATAAACTTTCCCATGCTGCTCTGCCTTCATCCCATTTGTTTCGTTGCTTTAGGCTAATATCCTAACTCATAGGTTAGTGTGTGTGTGTATATATATATATATACACACACACACACAGTGTAGACAAAGAACTTAAAGAAGTTGTTTTTTAATAAAAATATTCTCAAAGAACATTTAACTAAGGACAGATTTAACTGAGTAACATCTGAGACAGATTGAGATCCATTGATTAGAACTGATGCTCACAGGAAAGACCATAACTTACAGCTTCTTGATTACTGTTGCTTTCTCCACTTGTACCTGTGCCAATAATGTTTGGAAACCCAAGGGTTTCATATCTTAGGATATCTTCACTTGTTCAGCATGCACTGTAAAATTACTTATTCTGCTCCTTGCATTTGTAAAGGATAGTTCCACTGTGTGAAATGCAAGGCATTCTCATTTATAAGGGTGGACACCAAAATAAAGTGAGAAAGCAAGAGATGAAAGTTAAGAAAATCCAGTGCACAATTCAGGTGACCTAGTTAATAAGCAATACAGGTTGCAGATTAAAAAAAAAAAAGAAAAATGGCATCAGAAAATTGTTTTCGTAAATTGGACACACTTAAAGAGATCAACATTCAATCTAAGTTTGGGGTTAACCTAATATAGTTTGGTAGATGGGCCAGAAAAATTTAATCTTAATCTTTGTTTATAACAGGTCCTCTGGTTATGAACGGCAAGTGATTCTGCAATTACTGGATGTTAATTTGGAAAAAAAAAATTCCAAGAATGAGATACAGAAACAAGGAAACAATTAGCTCATTTTCTATACTGATATACTTAGTAATATTATCGAGTGGAAAAAGTCTGCCCTCCCTACATTTTACAAAAGATCATGTATCCTATGTTAGAAACACCTAAAATAAAAATAAAAATAAAAACTTAAAAAGTAAAGCAAAGAAGGAAGACCACAGAATTCAAATAAGGGGGACAGGAGGAAGAAATGGCTGTGATGTGGTGAAATCCATGTAACAGATTCAGATTACTGCCAAATTCTTAACTTTCCTTTTGGGTGGTGGATTTATAGGCACTTATTACATTATTTCAAAAGTACCTATTGACCAAAAAACTATAGATCAAAGATGAAAACATGTCATGGACCAAGATCCAAAATGAAAGAAGAAAAGAAGAAAAAAAAAGTTTGTTGTTGTTAATTTTGCTAAAAAACAGCAAAACTGGTTAACAGGGTTTGCCCCCAAACTGAATATACTAATTAGTTTTGAAATGAGTTGTGTAACACTTAGCAGTTTTGCTCTAAGTTTCACCTTGAATTGTCATATTTGCACACATTTAACATTCAGAACGAAACCTGGGTGTGGGAACTGCCCCACACCACATCCACCTCAATTCAGACGATCTGTCCCAAGTTCAATGAAGCTCATGTGAACTGAGAACAATGACTTTTGCAGTGCTCTGGTCTAAATTCCACTTTACAAAAGCCCTTTACATATCAAATACTGATCTCGTTTCTATCATATTGACAACAATAACAACAACAACAAGAGCTGAGACATGTGTTAAGTACTGTTATAAGGGTTTGCATTTAATAATTCATTTAATGCTTTCAAGCACCCCCTGAGATAGGCACATTTACCTTCTCCAAACTGGGAAACAAAAGAGCCACGATGTTCGGTTATTTCCTCAGGCTTACATCTAGTTAGTAAGGAATATACGAGTTGAATCTAGCTGGTCAGGCTCCGGAAACAGGCTCTTGGCCACTATGCTATAGTATTCTTTATAGACGTACTTTGAATTTTGACTTTATATAACAAGTATGACATATTTTTATGGTCTGCCATTGGGTAAAGATCTGATACATTTTCTCAATTACATAACTAATCTGAATTTTTTGCTTTGATGAAATAAAAATGTTTCTGGATATACAGGGGGTGGGCAAAAGTAGGTTTATAATTGTGAGTATGTGAAACACGAGTTTATTCTTGTATTATTATTAATTATTGCGTTATTTTCCATATGAACCTACTTCTGCCCACTGCTGTATACTATTTGACACAAAATGAGCTTTCTTGTTAACTCAACAGTGCATTACTCCCATTGTGAGGCATTCACCTAGGCTGAGAAAAGACCAATATGCTAACTTGACTTGTTAGAGCAAACTTCAAAACCAAGTATCTTCCTTGAAGTTATTTTTGAAGTTATAAAACAGGATAATAATAGATTTATGCTTGCATCGTTTCATTATCTCATCTCATTGATAAGTCATAAAGACAGAACCATAGTGTTCCCAACATACAGCAATTATACTGAACAATCCACTGAAATTTCCAATTCCAAGAACACACAGTTGTGAGAGATCTAGACTAGGTCATCTGTCTGTCCCACGGCCAGAAGAGGGCAGGGCGCAGGGCACCCAGACCGACAGTTCTGCATGGCTTCGTGCAAGGCGAGACAGTTCTCTAAAGGGAAATGAGAGTCTTGTTATCAAAAGAAGGAGGAAGGTATGTAGGGCAGGCAAAAACTACAGATGACTTCTATGCTGTCCCTCATTTTTCCATGTTGCTGAATCTAAAAGAAACTTTTTAGTTACCTTAGTTATTTTCTTGAGAACATTGGACAATGCTGATGCTTGCTTTGGGTTTCGAGAAATCACTCTTTCCATCAAGCCTCCTGCTCTTACTCATCTTCATGGCTTTTTTGTTTTCTTCCTGGTGTGCTCTTCTAGATGTCTCACTCTATACTCACCCGTATAACTCGATAAAACCTGCTACTCCAGGCTACTATCTATACAACGATGGCTCCCACAACCTGATTTCCTACTCAGCCCTCTCTCCAGTTGAATATATATATATATGTTTGACTTCTTCTTAGTTTCACTTGGCATTCTCTCACAGGTACTTAAAAGATAATTTGTTCAAAAGCAAAAATCTCTGTTTCCCTCTGCAAACTTTCTCCTATTTCCCTAATTTCCATCTCAGTGAATGGCACTACTATCTACCTGGTCATCCGTGCTAGATAACTGGCACATCCTAGATTTCTTCCTTTCACTCAGTCTCTTGCCCCTCCTCTTCCCTACCAAATGTTTTAGGTTCTACATCTATAGTCGCTGCATAGTGCAGGCTTCTCTGCATAGTGCAGGCTTCTAAGCTCAACTCAATCAATCAGTTGACTGTTGCAATGGTCTACTTGCCTCTATTTCGACTCTTTTGATCTAGCTCCTACATATCTAGCAATAAAATATTAATCTAACAATGTTTTTTAGGATACATTACGAATTCTTTACTTAGCACAACAGGCCCTTGATGCCCTGTTCATAGCCTATATCTCTAGCCTTACCACCGTCCAGTTTTTCTTGCCCTTACATACTCTCCAATTATACGTAGCTGCTTCTAGGTCCTTGACCCATCATGCTCTTTTAGACTTCCATTTCTTCATACACACTCTTCTCTCTGTATGAAACATGCTTCTCGACTTAATCAGCTGGCTTCCTTGCCTTTTAAAGGTCTATTCAAACATAACTTTTCCTAGAAATGGATGCCCAGTGTCATTTAGATATCTGCCTTCTGTGCCCCCATAATACTTATCATAGGTTCTAACTGTTGGTTTACTGGTCAATTCTTTCCAATTGTTTTCAATTGACCTTAGAGACCTAGACTAGGTCATCTGTCCATTTTATGTGACTTTGTATCTATGGTACCTTTCATGATGTGAGACAAATGTCCTAGTCAATGGATGTTTCCTGAATGACTTAATGAAGAAAATGTCACCCAATGAAGATAGTTTGGAAAAACTCACTAGAAAGTGTACAGATTCCCAATATGTCTCCATACTTGCAATAAAGAAATTCTCTTTATCATACAATTCAAACCATAAATTTAAAAAAATATATATTTTTTTCTTTAAAGTTGGCTATCTTTCCAATTCATACTTTCATTTTTGTCTTTAGGCAGGAAAGGGGGGGGGGGTTAATTATATACTTTGATTTTTAAAGCTGTTTCTGCAAGCTGATCAGACTTGAAAAATGAGCATAAAATAACTTTAAAATAAGATAATCTGCCATAAAAGCAAATTCATTATTATCTTTGTTTTCAAAACTACTAGTTGTTATTTTTCCCTTTCCATCGAACTAAACTCTATTCCACCTGCTGAGTACGTCTTCAGCGCTGCCCGTCCTCTTCTCCTCGGCGGCTCGCTTCCCAGCAATCCCAGCGTGCCAGTCAGGCACCCATCCTGTACTCTACGCTGGTGACAGTTTTCTTTAGAAGACACACATTTCATTACCCCAGTGAAATCCCAACTTGGAACAGCATAGAAGTCTTTATCTTTACTTCACAGCCTATTTCAATCTCACTTCCTACCACTCCTTCAGCTCCAACCATGTTCAACTTCCAGGAACCTGTCCATGCTCTTTCATACCCTAAGTCTTAGCCGAGGGCAGCTCTCTGCCTGGACAATGCATTCTCTGCGGACCTGCCCAGTCTATGCACTTCTCATCCTCGTGCACGGAGAAAACACTGCACGGAAGAAGCTTTCCTTGACCCCTCCAGACGGAGTTAGATCAGTTCAGCATCTGTGCACCTAGAGAAGCACAAATACGCCTTTATACCGCACTTGATTTGTTTTATTTTAAGTATGTATCTCCTACCAGATAATAAATGCAAGAAAGAAATTGTAAAAAAAGAAAAGAAAGAAAAAAAGAAAAGGAGGGCTATTTGTAATACTTTCAACAATAAAGATAAACAAATTAAAAAAGAAATGGTGTCTATTCCATTTATCTTTATATCCCCAGAACGTTCCGTAGAGTTTGGCACAGAAGCTTCCTGAAGTGAAGGAATGCCACTTTGACTTCAGACACCTTCTCACTAGAAGAGCCACGTGGGGAAGAATGGGCTTTGGCAAAGAGAGGCTAGGGAATATAACTATGTCAGATATGAAAATAGAATAGTAATTAATTTCAATGATCTAACAGTAACCACAAGTACAGCAACCCCCACACATACCGTGAGGAGAAAAGACAAAAACAAAACAAAAAAACAGAAAAGATGTAACAAGATAGTAAGAGGGAAGGGGTTAAAAATGATCTCATTGAGGCTCTGTTTAAAAGGGATACCAAACAAAATATATGAGACAAAGTATATGAGACAAAGTTATTGATGAACTCTAACAGCATTTACCCATCTTTTTCTCTCTTATGGCACTTATCAGTTCCTACCTCAACCATCAATTCCCCACTGAGTATGTTAACAAAGGGAAAACGAGATTCAGGATAATATCAAATAATCATTACAATATACCTAAAAAAAGTACAAGCAGTAAATATCATTAATATAACCTGAGGTGGTTAAATTAATATCCAGTATTGAAGAACAAATATTTGGGTCTATAAATAATATTGAACCTTCCCTCTCCCCACCTCCTCCTTGGCTTTGCTCCTGCTCTCCCATTCCCAAGGGTCTCCTCCACTTTCCCAGTCTCCCTCCTCTCGTAAAGTTTCAGAGCTACCTGCAAAGAGCTAAGCAAATGAAAAATGGGTTTGATGCTGAGGTTGCAGTTGTTTAGAAAAACGTCTTCCCCCCTCCCAAAATACACCTGTTTAAACTGCTTGTCAGCACTTACTCTATAACTGGTTAATCTGCCAACAGATAGTTAAATGTTGACTATATTTATGTATACCTATCTCCCTATGACAATCTCAAGTCTTCTTGTGAGATTCTCTTTCATTCAGATGTGTATGCAACACAGAGTTGCAAAAATAACTGTAAACAGAAAAATGAATGAATAGAATTAATAACCCAATCAAATGTCAAAACTGCAATAAGAGAACATTATAAGGAAAAGGTAGCAGTGCCATAAGGTGTCTTTGACATGGCCCCAAACCTCTATTAGCAACCCTGCCTCAAGTCACCTCTGCAACCAACAATTTAAACAGAAATATTATGCTCAGTAGGCAAATGAAACCTCCAATGCCTAAATTAATGCCAGTAAGTAACATAACTTTAAAGGGGATTGAATAATTACTACTTCTTAATATTTCATGCCCAGAAATGTAATAGTAAAAAGAACTATTTACTGGGTGTTTATTGCACACCCAGTAACATTTCATTCCCATGCCAAGCCTATGAGTAACACACTCAGACACCGCACAGCCAGACTAAGTTTGCTGGAATCACACCATTTTAACCTCTATGGTCTAGAGCCTATGATACCCTCACAAGCCCAGGTAATGCAAGCTTGCAATATCAAATTTATTAAGGCTTAAAACAGAAAGGTTTTTAATTTTTTTAGTTAATAATGATAATATAATAAAAAATGGACTCATAATGATGAAAGAATTACATCTTTATATTAAAGAATTCTTTATATTATATAAACTACCCTCAATGCAAAGAAATGCTCCAATTATTCATGGTAACAAAATATTTTAATTAAAAAGAATTCCCAACAACATATAATCACTAGCTATTCAAGAAGCACAGTTCCACAGTATATAAAATATGCACGATATAAAACAAAAACCCCACAAATAATCTGAGGTTGTCTATAAATCACTCAATAGATCTTTATACTTTAAAAGTAACTAGCATAGCATTTTCTAATTATATGATTTAATTTTGGTCAACTCTTTTTTATATGACAAACACAAAAATGTTAATAGGTTAAGATTTCTGTATGCACTTGTATGAATAATAAAATAAAAATATATAATTAACAGGACAAGACAAGATGGCTCCAAATCCGAGGAACTGAAATGAACAGCCTTCTGTGTAAGGCTGCTTTATAACATTCGTCTTTCAATTATAGAGAATTCTGCACTGATACCTCTTAGAGACTGCCTTCCTACCGGCTGCTGTGTACTGTGGAGATCGGGATGTTTGGCTTGGCTTTTGATCTCTGTAAAGCGGTGCCTAATTTTGATCTACTTTGTGCCCCACACTTATAGAAAGCAAAATCAGTAATTTCCAAGAACATTCACAAGAAAAATTGGAGGAAGTTCCAATGATATCACTGATCAGTTACCTAAGAGAAATGGAAATGCACAGATAACCAATGACATCTTTTAGGAAACCTGTAGACGTGTGTGGAACCACGTCTAACAATTTGGAAGAATAAACAGTACCTTCCTTTGGTCTATTCAAGGTCACCTGCCATTATTATATTAATTCAAACACGTTATGAGAAATAATTTCCGAGTATCACAAAAATTCAATATACCTTGTTTGCAAAGTGTCCCAAAGCTCAACTCACTTAAAGGTAATCCTGTACCAGGTTAATGTGATCCAAAACTGTTTGAAACAAAGTACGATTTGATGCCCGTGCCGAAGGGCAGACAGAACTATTTAACCCAGGAGGCATGGCAGGTGGCAGAGAGGAGCAGGGAGGGGCGGCCGCTGTTTCTACCCACCGTGGTGACTCATGACCTGGCCCGAGGCCTCCATGCCGACGTTCTGGAGATAGTTGTGGCAGCGCTCCTTGTGCTCCTCCAGGGAACTGCGCTGCTTGTAGCTTCGTCCACAGTAGTTGCACTTGTGAGGTTTACCCACTGTGAACAGAATTCAAGATTAGGGTGCTGTCAGTCTCATCCAAAGCAAATTCAACAGCTCAGTTTTGATAGTGTGGAGGAAGCATTTATATGCTTTTCAGACTTCAATCTCTTCCTCCTCCACACCCCGATTCAGATAATAAATCTCCACCAAGACTGAGACAGAAAAGAAGATAAGGCAGATCGTACCTTTGGTGATAGGGGACATACGGAATCAAATTCATGCTCTGACTGTAGCCTAGATGATCAGTCTTCAAATTATCTGACTCTCAACACTACCAGTTCCTCTTACACAGTTCTCTCAGCTTTGACTCGTTCAAAAGACAAATCAGGAGTGCTTTACATATATAACGAGAATTATTTTTCTAGTTAACTTTGGGGGGAGGGTGTAGTAAGGACAGAAAACTTTACTGGAGTAAACTAAAATGCAACAACTTGAAATGCCATTGTTTAATGAAAAAGTTATTCATGAGTACCAAGAAAACTAAAAGGAATTCAAGTGATGAGAAAAAGTACAGATAAAAGCAGGGTTTCTTTTTTCTTTCCGCCCTGGTAATAACTTCATACATGCAAAACTTTGCAGCAGATAAAGGGTATTCTCCCACACCAGCACTGTTCTTATATTACCAAGAAGTAACCTGCTAGGTGCTTTGAGTCAGGATTATTAACAATAACCACTAAAGCCCTAACATATTTAGTTATGCGATGATAGTAATATTTTCCAACACATTTCACATTCAGGAAATAAATTCTTTCCTAATAGCCGGAGAGCCCTAAGTCAGTATATATACCTGGTAAAATACTGCGATGACTGCACTAAAAACAAACAAAAACAACTTTACAAAAGAAGAAAAAAACACATTTATGAAAAGAGGCATGATTTAATGTATGACTCTTCACAAGGATATCAAGGGCACTTTGATTCTTGGTTTTGAACAGTAACAGGACAAACGTACACCACCAGGTGGTCTGTGCCAAAGCCCTCAGAGTAAAGACAGCGTGAATCAGATCAGGGGCTCTCATTCGACTCCCTTAGGAATCACTCTATTTTGTCCAAAAGACAAGCAGACAACTCTTTTTCATGGCCAAATACAGCATTCCTGACGCCAGTCTCCTTACAAACCCCTGCTATGACACTGTTATAAGTGGACTGAAATATTGTAACAAGGCAAGGATTCGTAGGTACATATAAGCTTCACTATACTGATTTTTGTTTTAAACAAAACCTTTAGATTGTATCTGTAAAAAAGTACATACACATAATCTAAAATAAGTTGTTTCATTATTATATTTTTTGTAAACTATCTTCAATAACAAAATCTTCTAAGGCATGATTACTCATTTCTAAAAATACTAGGCAAAGTAACTTCTATTATTCAAAACCAAGGATTTCTGAGAAGTGGAAGCCAGGTACCTGTGTACATTATGAAAAATTTGTATCGCTGTGTTAAGAGCATTAAAAAAATACAAGAAAATGCTTTCAGTCAAAAACATTTTGTGCAAAGAATATAAATATATTTACATGTAATCACATTCTAAGACAAGGGGCTACACGTAACACAAAGCCTTTGTTTGCTATAACCACTACTTGATTTGGGAATCTTTGGTCCTGCTTCTCTAGAAATAAGCGAGGAATTGGCAATGAACAATTCTTTGGCCAATTACTACTTATTAAGCACAGGCACTGAAGTTCATTGCCCAACATAAACCAGTTCTGCCATCTTCCTCTTCCTCGTACTATTCCTGAACAACTTCGTCCTATGGTACCATTTCACTGAGAACATAACCTCCTATACTTTCTCCCCCTTATTTATACAAGCAAACTTGATGCCTTCTCAACTTAATTAAAACGTAGTTCCCTTGTACTCCCCCGGCTCACAATCCTGTATAAACTCCAACTCACCGGACCAGGGGGAAACGACGACACACTCTTTAACGCTCGAGTAAAGACTCGTTTTCACTCCCCTCGTTTTTGACGTCTACCCATTCGCTTTACTTCAGCTTCTTCCATTTTGTTATGTTTTAAAACATCACTCTTTCCTTTGCATCCCATCCTTGTTCTCGGCGAGTCCAAGGAATTTGGTAACATTTTCTAAAGTTAGTAACCCCAAGTCTCCTAATTCTTCATCTGCATTCCATTCCAGCCATCTACATAGTGGGAGACAGGTTGACTTTGACATCTCCCAACTATTTTACCTCCAAGAGACGTGCTCTGGACATGCTCTGCCTCTTCCCTGGCATCAGTGCCTACGGATGAAGAGCCTTCTGGGATCAACACTGTGATGAGGCTGGACTGTAAAATGGAGCACAGAGCTCATGGTGCCTACCCTCATGCCACACAGTCGGCTGAGGTAGACAGGCATTTAACAAATACACAATGTATCACAAACTGTGGTAGATTCTGCAGAGCAAATGAATGCTGTGCTGGTATATCATGGGGAACCAAATTAGGCTGAGAAGGCTGGACAGGAGGGTAGGAACATCTACGCTGACGACTGAAGGGAAAGGAGAAGTTGGATAATAGGGGGCAGAGGTGGAGCAGAGGAGGGGCTGTGCTTCAAAACTTCCGGGAACTGCCGTCATCTCTTTCTATTTGTTGTCACGGCCTGAGCGCCTTCAAAGTCTAGATCATGCCCTTACAAGTCTTTTGAAAATTATTTCCAAACATCATTAACAATCCTTGCCAAATTTAATGGCACTACTACCTCCACAAGAGACCACTGCCTGTCACTTCTTTGATAGTTCTTAAAAATCACACACATGAAAATATTGTTTATGTTGACTCTCTCTGAGTTTATCTGTGTAATACTTACAAACTTACGAGTTAATATGTATAACATGTATATTTATTGAAGAGAACCAGTATTTTGTTATCATTTTTATAAATATTATTACACATTTTCACCATCTAAAACACCTTCATTCTGATATTACTGAAGCACTTTAAAAGTCATCAATAAATTGCCTGGCCGGTGTGGCTCAGAGGTTGAGCATGGACACATGAACCAAGAGGTTGCCTGTTCAATTCCCAGTCAGGGCACATGCCCAGGTTGTGTGCCCGATTCCTAGTTGGGGGCATGCAGGAGGCGGGCAATCGATGTTCTCTCTCATCAATGTTTCTATCTCTCTCTCTCTCCCTCTCCCATCCTCTCTCTCTAAAAATCAATAAAGAAAAAAAATTTTAAGTTATCAATAAATAGCCTGTGAATCACTAAATACAATGGACTTCAACCAATCCCAAATATGCCTAATTTCTAGGTCCTTATCAAACTTTCATGTGTCTTGGATCTCCTGTTTTATTTATCATCTGGGATCAGAGAAGAGGTTGAGAAGCCATTGAGGGTAACACACTACCCTCAATGGCTTCTCAACCTCTTCTCTGGCAAATACATATGTACCTCCAGATTTTGTTCCCAGTACAGTAGTCTCTCTCTTTCCCTCTAGATTAAGTCCTCATTTCTACAAAATGTCCAAATATGCCTGGAATAATTTCCCATCATTTTAAGCTCCTACTTGTCATTTAAATCTTTTTAAAAATGATCATGGTGAACCCACAAAGACAGTTTTCTCCTCTGTGTTTGCACATTGCTCTCTTCACTCTGTTGATACATATGCTAATTACATTTTACTTATCCATTTGATAACTATTTCTCTAATCCAAACAATGAACTTTGTCATAAGCACAGAGGTCACGGTTCACACAATTTTGAATTTAGTACTTATTACACTTAATAAAAGATACTTGATACGTATTTGCCGAATGACTGTACTTGAAGCTCATGCTTCCAAATATCTTCTAAGTACACTGTACTGCTTCGTGCATATTCCTCTGAAATGTAAAACTCAACACATCCATTTTAAAATTGGCTTTATTAAGGTATAACTTACATAAAATCAAATACACCCACTTTAAGTGTATAGTTAAGGAGTTTGGTGTGTTTAGTTTTGTAAACCACCACAAATAAAATATAGAACATTTCCATCACCCTATAAAATGATCTCTTGCTCCTTAGCACCAATTCCCTTCCCCATACTTGGTCCGTGGCAACCTCGGATCTGTTTCTGTCACTACAGTTTTGCCTTTTTAAAGAGTTCATATAAACTGAATCAGGCAGTATGTAGTCTTTTTGTGTCTGGCTTATTTCACTCACCATGCTGTTGCATGTATTGGTAGCTGGTTCCTTTTTATTGCTGAGCAATATGCCCCTGAATGACTATACCACATTTTGTTTATCCATTCATTACTTTGGGTTGTTTCTAGTTTATGGCCATTAGGCATAAAGCTTCTACAAACATTTACAGGCAAGCCTTTGTTTTCATTTCTTTTCGGTAAATACCTAGAAGTGGGATTGTGGGTCATATGGTAGATATCTGATTAATTTTACAAGAAAGTGCCTGTACCACTGTGCATTTCCACAAGCAATAATGTATATTAGAGTTAACAACTAACTGTTCCACATCCATGCCAACACAGTATTGTCGATCTTTTTTTATTTTTATGTTACCCATTCTAGTAGGTATGCAGTGGTATCTCATGGTGTTTTTGTGTTTTCCTAATGTCTCATGAGACTAACCTTTGCCCTTCCCATTTCATATATTTTCTTAGGTGAATTATCTGTTCAAACCTTTTGCCCATTTTCTTTTACTGTATCTCTAATTTTATTATTGCATTGCAAGAATTCTTTACTTATTCTACATACAAGTCTTTCCTTAGGTATATGCTTTGCAAATATTTTTTATAAATGTGTTTTGCTTTTTTTTTGAATTTCTATTGAAGAACTGAGTTTTCAATTTTGAGTAAGTCCAATTTATCAATATTTTCTTCTGTGCTTTGTGTGTATTGTATGCAAGAGATCTTTGACTAACCAAATATCAGAATAATTTTCTCCTTTGATTTATTCTAGAAGTTGTATGTTTTAGCTCTTACATTTAGGTCTCTGACTCATTCAACTTAATTTTTGTATATGGTGTAAAGTAAAGCCAATGTTTTAGGTCCTTTT